CTTAGGGATCGACGCATGTGTCCTCCAGACTGTTAGCCTGATCAAGAAACCCTTATTTTCAACTAGATTTAAAAAAAAAAAAAAAAAAAAAAAAACAAAAAAAAAAAAACCTTCAAAAAGGAAATAAAAAGAACCTTAACAAAAGGATAGTCAGGATGATGACTATCTAGATGCTCTAGATGGCATCGTTCACCCGAATGCTGTCCAGTTTCGGGTCCCACGTTGGGGTTTAGGGGTGCACTCCTCAACAAGCTGTGCGTTTGCCATAAGTGCAAAGTAATGAAAGAGTCTGGCTAGTTTTATGTCAACTTGACCAAAACTAAAATCACTGGAGAAGAGTAAACCTCAATTGAGAAAAATGGCTCCATAACGGTGGTTCTCAACCTGTGGGTCAGGACCCCTTAGCGGGTTGATGATCCTTTCATAGGGTCCCCTAAGACCACCAGAAATATTACATTACCAGTCAAAACAGTAACAAAATGACAGTTATGAAGCAGCAACGAAAATAATTTTATGGTTGGGGGTCACCACAGCGTGAAGAACTGGATTAAAGGGTCACAGCATTAGGAAGGTTGAGAACCACTGCTCCAGAGGACCAGGCTGTAGGCAGGCAGGCCTGCAGGGCATCTTCTTAATTAGTTATTGATGGGTTCATTGTGGTGGGGTCACACCTGGACAGGTGGGCCTGGGTTCTGAAAGAAAACATGGTAAGCACAGCCCTGAGGAGTAAGCTGGTAAGCAGCACTCTTCCAGGGCCCCCACATAGCCCCTGCCAGGGTCGGAGGTCCTGCCAGGGTCGGAGGTCCTGCCAGGGTCGGGGCCCCTGCCAGGGTCGGAGCCCCTGCCTTGGCTTCCCTCAGTGAACTGTGATTCAGGATTTATAAGATAAATAATCCCTTTCCTGCCCAAGCTGCTTTTGGTGGCGGTGCTACAGCAGCAGAAAAGTGAACAAGACCCTGATGTGTAGAAATGATGTTATCCTGTGAGGGTCAAATAAAGCCCAGGCGCACTAACCAAGGGAGGTCTTGGGTGGTTTAAATAAAGACTGGGGCACTGAGTAATCTATAACACTAGAAAAATACCTATAGGTCTCAATGGAAAAACAGTGTCCATGAAGAACAGGACAGACTGATTGATGGGCTTTCTGAATTTTTAAGGTCTAGCAAAACAGTCCCACTGATCACAATGAGTAAGCATTTGTTCATTTAATTAACAAATGCCTGGTTATTAGAGTTGCATAAAAGATACATAGGACTTTATATAGTTTTATATTTACATACGTTTAACATACTAAAAATACTTTAACAATGGAAGATCCTGGGTTGGATTCTGGCTTGAAACATTATGAGGTGGGTGACTAGGAGCCACTAAGAAGGATGTGACAGCTTCGTGCATTAGTAAAGGCACTCTACAAAAACTGTGGCAGGTTGGGATCGAAAATATCCAAGCAGAGGCAGAAAGAACAATCAGAAGGCTAATTAATAACATGATAAAAGTGGGAAGGCACTAAACTACTCAGAAGAAAAGACCGGACAGAAATAGAATCAAAAGGACTTGGTTGTGGGAGAGGCAAAGACAGTCTACTGACTTTCTCTGGGGAGACCGGCGGTAAGATAAATACCACAGGAAGAGAACAGGTAAGAAAGAGTATAGGCTGTCCAAGCTGTGGACACTCATGCAGCCCCTTCTTGCTCCCCCACAGCTCCAGCCTGCTCACAGGCTGTCAGAAATGGTGAAAGCAAGCCGGGCGGTGGTGGCACACGCCTTTAATTCCAGCACTCAGGAGGCAGAGCCAGGGGGATCTCTGTGAGTTTGGGGCCAGCCTGGTCTACAGAGTGAGATTAAGGACTAAATCTACATGAAGAAACCCTGTCTCAAAAAACCAAATAATAATAATAATAATAATGATAAAAGAAAATAGTGAAAGGAACCACTTACCATGATGATTTAGGGGTCAAGCTTGATGCCTCAGGAAGACCTCAAAAACACTTAGAGGTAACTGGCCTTGAAGTACCACCCTGGTAAGAGTGCAAGATGAAGGGAAGACATGTAAACAGACTTCTCAAGCTTACAGAATCCCCAGAGGACAAGCAGTTGGATCTGTTAGAACCGGAGGACTTTGATCCAAACCAGGAAAGGCAGCACCATTATAATGGAGCAGCAAATGAGGATGATGCCCAGCATGTGTGAAGGGTTGGTCTGTGTCCAGCCACTGAGTAACTCACTGCTGGCACTTTGTATGCAGAAGTGAATGCGTGGAGGGCAGAATCACATGTCCACCACTTGCCATTGTATTTGTTGTAATATTCAACTATCATGGTGCTTTTAAAGTTATGTGAACGACAAGCAGATACACAAGCTCGGCCATGGTGGGAGAGCACAGAGAGACAGAGCTGCAGGAAGAAAGAGATGATGAGTGCAATTCAGCAATGATTTGCATTTCGCTTCAGCCAAAGAAAATCCAGATATATTTTTCTGGGTTCCAGTTTTCTCAGTGACAGCTGCATTCATGAATGACCAAATTAACTATTGTAGAGCTTTCTAAAAATACATAAAGCACTCCACCCTGTGCTATCAGCAAGTCATGAAATATCAGCAAAAAAAAAAAAAAAAAAAAAAGGCCAGACCCCAGAGAAAATGCATCAAGGGTAAAAAGACAGCTTTTCCTTTCCTTTTTTCCCCCCTCTAAACAAAACAAAACCCCTAAGCGCTTAAATTGCGACCCAGCACACTCATTTGGTATTGTACTTATAAACTGTCAATCAGAAAGCTGGTGCGATTGCTGAGTTTTTCTTTAAGCACCTAAGATCAGGAGTGACAAACCAAGTCTAGGTGGGAGATGCAGACGCCTCACTAAAGGGGTTTACAACAAACGAATGGTGGCGTGTGGTATACAGTTAAGGAAATTTCAGTGTGCTGGGAATTTTGGACACGCAGGCAGAGCTAGTTAACAGAGAATGTTAATTTTTACTTAGGGACGTCAACCTGGATTATCTTAGGCAATCCAATAGGAATGTGAGCATTTCATATTTTATTCCCTATATGGGGGCGAGGGGAATGGAAGCAAGGAGGAGGGAAACAGCAATTATCACAAAATCAGCCAGGGTCCCCCGCTGGCCACACTAGGGGGCCTCTGAGAAGGAGAAATTTAATCTTAACTTTGGTGGGAAAACCAGCATCTTGCACCACTAATTCCAATTCGAAAGTGTTTATACAACCAAATGCTTAAGTCAACCTCATCCACAACGTCCCAAGTGCGGCTGAGGCCAAGCCGCAGGGCGTACCTTTGGAGGGTCCCACTGGACACAACGCCCCTCCGAACACGTGGCCAGAGCCTCGCGGGGCCAAAGCAGGGCGTCCCACCACCAGGGCGGAAAGGGATTGCTCCCTGGGTGCGGGGCACACAGAAGAGACGCCACCAGGAGGCGGCCGCACAGCCGCCCCAGAGGCCTCCCACGCTAGCCTCGTGCATCCCGGAAGACGACCCGACCCACCGCGCAGCCCTACGGCGCAGCCTATCAGGGCCGGGAGAGGAGGGTTGAAGGCAGGGCGGGGCGGGGCCGGACTAGCCCTCGCTCTGCCTGATGGGAATTGTAGTTTTCGAAAAAGAAATCAAGTAAGGTGGGGGGGGGAGGGGAGGCCATGGGAACTACATTTCCGGGAGAGGGAGTGTCTACGGCGGGTCGCGAGGTGCGGCGTGCAATCCCGAGAGGAGTTGAAGGAAGGGCCATGCAGGGGCCGTTGGTTCTCTTCCTTTGCACCCAACCTGAGTGGTGCTAAGTCTTGCTCTCTGCCCCCGAGTGCCCAGTGCGGGGCTCCAGCGTCCGCCTTCCCTTGAGGCTCGCAGGTGGCGGCTGCCACCCCTCGTGGAAGTGAGGGGCGCGCCCCTTCACGGCCCTGCGGACCCCAGGCCTCCATGGGCCGGACCCCGAAGACCAATGTGTGCCGCCGGCTGAGTCGCCGGGCTCTAGGCTTCTTCACACGCGACGCCGGCGTGGTGCAGAGGACGAACCTGGGCATCCTGCGGGCGCTGGTGTGCCAGGTGACGCCCGCTGTAGTCGGGGTGCCTAGGGTCCACCCTCCTCCCAGCGTGCAGTTTTTTACACGCTCGGATTTCCTTTGAGGGTTATAAGTGGGGAGGGGCATCTGTGTCAGGCAACTAGGATGTTAGTAAATAGATGCTTATAGGTCCGCATCATGGCTTTAGTTTTTAAAAGCTTTTGCCTTCCTGCAAACAATCGATCTAAAAGTTGGGCATCCAATTAAACCAACACGTGTAGGCAGAGGGAGGAAGAATAAAAAAAAACAATGTACTTGAAAGTAGATTTAAACTACCCACTTAAAAATGGTTCCATAGCAGGTAGCTGAGTTCTTTCCTAAACCGAAATTCTTTGTATCTTTCAGGAGAGTACTAAATTTAAGAATGTTTGGACAACTCATTCCAAGTCACCTATAGCCTATGAGAGAGGAAGAATATATTTTGACAATTACCGGTGCTGTGTCAGCAGGTAAATCTTGGTGATGATTTTTTTTTTCTTTGCTGTAATTCACCTGACCGTAGTTTTTATAGAACCACGTGCCTTCTTTAGTGCTTAGTGAAATAGGAAGATGGAAAAATGAATCCATAATAAAACCAGGAGGAAAATGCATGCGATTTTAAAACCTCGTTAAATCTAAAGTTGTAGGTTTCATCTTCGTAAATACTTATTTCACACAAAATTATAGCATAGGCAAAATAATACGTTGCTCAGCACAATTTGCTGCTTTCTAACATTAAAAGGTCAGAGTCGAGAAAACAGGTTATGAAATAATTAGATGCTGCTTGAGAGACGGGTATTCGTATTTTGTTTTAGAGGTGCTTACTTTTTTTTCCCCAAGAGAAAGTATTCAAACAAAGGCATAGGATTTATAGATGCTTAATATTTAACAGCCTCATCCACAACCACTCAAGGTCAGGCTACAGGGAAAGCCATAGTGAGTTGATGCTTCTACCTAGACTAAGAATTATCGATTTGCCTCTCTTTTCTTTCATTTCTTTTTTTTTTTTTAAACTTTTGAGACAGGGTTTCTCTGTGTAGCCCTGGCTGTCCTGAAACTCGACCTGTAGAACAGGCTGGTCTCGAGCTCAGAGATCTCAGCCTCTGTCTCCCAAGTGGTGGGATTAAAGGGGTATGTCACCACTGCCTGGCTCTTTATCGTGATGGTAAATATTTTAAAGCATATTCTAAACACATCCTTCACTTTGCATCTCTAAAAAAAAAAATATGGGCATTTTCGTTCTGTGTCTACTGAGGCAATAGGTCAGTCTTCAATGCCATTCCTCGGGAGCCATCCACCTTATTGTTGAGACAGGCTCTTATTTCACTGGACCAGGAAACTAGGTTTCCAGTAGATGGTCTGGCCAGCAAACCCTGTGAATTTGCCTGTCTTCACCTCCCCAGCTCTGGGATTACAAATGGCAGAAACCATGAGAAGTGGGGATTTAAATGCAGGTCCCCTTGCTTGCGTGGAGAGCATTTTACCAATTGAGCTATCTCCGAGGTGATAACATCTAAGCTGTTTTCTTATTGGATTAGAAACTAGAAGTCAGAGAGACTAGTGATTTTTGAGGTTTGCCTTGACTCTAGTCCAGTGGTTCTCAACCTTCCTAACGTTGAGACCCTTATGCTGTGGTGACCCCCAACCAAAAAATTGTTTTGTTGTTACTCCATAACTGTCACTTTGCTACTGTTATGAATCGTAATGTAAATATCTGATGTGACATCGAAGGGGTCGTGACCCACTGTTGAGAATCACTACTCTTACAGTTATCCTTTTTGGTTCTTTGGCAAATCAGCTAACCTACAATTTAGCCTTTAGTGTTAGTGAATTACCCGTGACCCTCTATTTGGCTTCCAGTGATTTATAGAGTGCACATGTGCTTGAACTCCTCCACATCTGTTGCAAATAAAGTCAGTTTTATTGGAAAGAACTGTGGGCTATCTGTTTTGGAACTGCTTCTCTGCCCAGGCAGTCTTCAAGCCAACTCTATGGGGCTGGTCACAGGAGTTGACTCCCTTAGTGGAAGAAGCAGAGCAGGTCAGGTGGGTGGAATACTCAGCTTAAGGAAGCAAGATAAGGCCAGTCTGGACCTTACAAAGAAAGAGAAGTGATGTCAGAGTCCTGTTATTCTACACTGTAGGATACCCAAGTAGAGCCTCCCTGGGGCCTGGGCAGAAGAGGTCCTGACTTTCAACTACACTAACATAGGACTCAGCCTCAGCAACACATGACTGGGGCTGGATGAAAATGGTGTCACTCTGCCTGTTCTTGGGAGAGTGCCTTCTGAGTCAAAGCAGCAGGGGGAAGGATCCTAGAAGTCTCGGCCATGACAGTTTAGAGCTATGAATGATACCATCTTCCTGAGCTGGAAGGAAGAAAGAAGGAAATGTGCTTGGTGCAGACATTGAGGCCTCCCACTGTCCTTACTGAATTCCAGAAGGTTCTCGTGAATAACTGCTTCTTTGTGTGCTTTTATAAGAACAACCAGAGGCTTAAGTGGTTGGCCCTTTAATCATTTCCTTCAGTTTTTTTGAGCACAGTATCTGTTTTAAGGCTCTGATTCTAGGTTTGGAAATCCAGACATTGTCTTCTATGTTTATGATACTCATCACCACACCTTGTAGTATTAACACTGACCCTTAGGGATTGTTCAGTACCCAGCTCATCAGTTTCCCAAGTCAGACGGTTGTTTTGATTTTTAAAAGTTCAGTTAAAGTAAATGCTCTTGATTAGTGTCAGGTGTTCTTCACCACGCTGTTAAGGAGTATTGCACCTACGGGTAGAATCACAGGAGATTGCTTTTGCTCCTGTGACATTCTGTTGGATTTAAACCTTCAAGTTACTGAGAGAATATCAGAGGCGAATAAAATGTCATCCTAAAGATTGTTTCTTTTCACAATAGTTGAACTTTAAAGTTCTTCAGTTAAGAAAACATCTATGACCACATCTCAGTAGTTATCAGAGAAGTAGAGACTAGCTGAGGGAGGTGGCGGGCTGTAGCCCCAGCCCAGGGAAGCTGAGGCGAGAAGGATTGCTTGAGAACAGCCTGGGCATGGTAGCAAGACTGTTTCAAAAGTAAGCACCAGGGATACATTGTTCACTTTTACGGAAGGGAGCGGGTAGATGTAGTTCTGGGACAGTCTGGGTCCTGGCAAGCACCTTAAATGTTACCGAAGTCTAGCCTTGAAGTTGCTGGAAGATACAATGTTCAGTGATAATGGGATAAGACACATTTAATACTTTTGAAAGAAATAAAATATACATAGAAAGTGTTTCCCTTTGTATCCACAAATGCTTATTCAAATTAGTGTGTCTTAGAATTACTATTGATGAAACAGCGTGATCAAAGAAACTTGGGGAGGAAAGGGTTTATTTGGCTTATGCTTCCACAATACTGTTCATTCCTGAGGAAAGTCAGGACAGGAACTCAAACGGGATAGGAACCTGAAGGCTGGGGCTGCAGACATGTGAAAGAAATGTCTCAAATCTGAACAAAGACCACCTCAGTTTAAAACTAATAATGCTTATTTTCTTTTTTTTCCTAGTGTTGCATCAGAGCCAAGAAAAATTTATGAAATGCCAAAATGTTCCAAGGCAGAAAAAATTGAGGATGCTTTATTATGGGAATGCCCAGTGGTGAGATTTCTTTCTAGAGCATTTTTTTTTTAAAGCTCCCTCAACTCTTAAATGTTTTGTTTATTTATTTATTTTTACATTTATTTCATTTTTTAAAATCTTATACATGAGTACTGTGTTCACATCATTTCTACCCCCTCTCTCCATTTCAGTTCCTTCCATGTTCCCTTATACACACTCCCTCTCAACATCATCAACACACACACACACACACACACACACACACACACACACACACACACACACACCTGCTGAGCCCATCTCCTGTTGCTCAGATGCGTATGTGTTTAGGGCTGACCCCCTTCAGATTGGATAACCTGTCAGGAGGCTAATCTCTGACAAAGACTGATTCTCCCTCTCAGCAGCCATTAACTGCCTGTAGCTCTTCATTTAGGGACGGGGCCTCATGAGATTTCCCCATCCATGTTCGAATGTCAGCTGGTGGTGGTGGTGTGCAGGCCTTCTTTAGGCAGCAGTATTGTTGAGATTTCATGGGTGCAACTCCCTGCCATAGATAGAAAACACAACCTCGTAGCAGATGTGCCGGTCATCTGGCTTTGCATCATTTCTCACCCTTGTCCATGATGTTCTTTAAAGCATTTTTGTTTAGAAGGACTAGTCATTGTTAGTGTATTATATAAAAGATAAAACTTAAAAATCTGTGACTCCCAAATCTTTAGAATAACCAAGAAGAGAATGTGTTTTTTCAGTATTAATACAAAGTTATCTTTAAAAAATCATTATTACAGGCTGGAAAGATAGCCCAGCAGGTAATGGTGCTTCCTGCCAAGCCTGCTGAACTGGATTCAGTCACCAGGACTCACACAGAGAAAGGGAGAATCAAGTTCCAAAACTTGTCTGCTGATCTCCCACACACACAAATGTAATTTTTTTTTAAATCAGTAGTTGGAATTCACTTATTTATTTTGAACAGGCTCATGTATGAACCCAGGCTAGCCTAAGACATGATGTAGCTGAGGATGAGCTTGAACCTTGGACTCCACCCACCCCTGAGTGCTGGGATTATAGGTGTGCACCACTGTGTTCAGTTCATTATGAAAAAATTCAAATTGGAGATAACTTATAAATCTTAAAAAGTTAGAAACTGATTAAAAGTTTTATAACAATGTAAGGTAGTTTACACTCATTCTTGTGAGCAACTGTTATGTAGATCTTTGAAAGTAAATTCTTGTAAATACCATCTATGAATGTAGTTAGGGAAAAATAGGATAAAAATGAAAGCTACAGGAGCACAAGTTATCCCCTTAGGCCAGCATTGCCCTGGGTGTGCGCCTTTCAGAACACTGTTCCCATGGGGTGTGAACATACAGATTACCAGGGAAGCTAGGAGGAAGCCGTCTGGGGGGAAAAAAATGGAACATGGAAAGTTCCAAAGATTAAACAAGGAAATTTGTCACATTCCTCCTCCATCTTTAATACTACCGCTTCTAATAATGCTCGAACACACAGTGAATGTCGGACCATCTTGCCAAACTCTTTAATCACAGCCCTTTTTTGAGGGACAGTTCTTCCATTTTGAGTTTTCCATAGCATCATTTCTAGGAAATCCTCTTAGGACACACTGCAGCAAATTAATCATGTCTGTGAGTCTGGTTGGTTGCTTTTTAAGAGAACTCCCAGTCTGTGACCAAAAGTACTATCTGAGCCATGGGCAGTAATATTCTGAATGTAATGTTCAATTTTTTCCAGGCTGTTGTTTTTCCATAAAGCTGTAATTTTTTTAAACTGTCGTTGCCCCTGTAATTAACTCGCTTTTCATAGAGGTCTCCTTTTTAAAAATTAGAAAGTTGGAAGCCTGTTTTCTTCCTCTGTAATTGAAAGCTGAGAATAATTGTGCCTTAAACAATTTAAAGCCTTTTAATCTATTTTCTTGAGGGGGGATTAGAGAGATGATGGGTTTCTTAATTGAGAAAGTTTGAATATACCAATTCAAACACCCAAAATATAGAGCAGTCCTGGAAAAATAAAGTTAGCCTAATTCTTATTCTCATTCCATAAACATTTCGATGATTTTGTTTTTATTTGTGGTGACATAAGATTTTCTATGAAGAACTCAAAGGAACACTGTATTGTTAATATATGGATGCAAAACTACTTTTAAATTAGTACTCTCTTGTTTTGTTTCTGAGATAATGTATGAAATGCCATTTTTGGCTTAAGAAAATAGTTCGAATCCATACTATGTACGTGTTCCAAATGTCTCTGCTGGACCAAGTAGGGTAGTAGATATTTGTAAACTTGAAGGTCTACATGGGATGCTACATAAGGCGTTGTAGTATAAAAGCATGCATGGTGTTGCCCGAATACAACATTACCATGTCAGCGTGAATGTAAGCGGACCAGTTCACAGTCTGCACTACACGCGGTCTGCCTAAGAAACAGCAAAAATAAATCAAACCTAGCAAACTAAAAGCAAACGGCTGTTTCCCTGGAATTTGAGAGGTTGCAGCCTCCTCTTTTCTGTTGGTGTTTTACCCAAGCAGATGCCACATGAATTTCAGCTTCTCGATTCATCACTCTACCGAGGGAAGATGACCACGTTTGCTCCTCTTGCCCTTCTGCCTCAGACCTGGACGTTGTCAAAACAGTGACTCCTGCGAGCTCAGTGGTCACTGTTGTCAGAGCAGCAGCATTGCTAATGCTCCTGTTGCTGTTGGCTAAGTCTGGGGGATACCTGTAAGTGATGCTGAGTGAGCTCGGCCAGACGCTGTGTGAATGCTTTATGCTCATTTGTGTATATAAATGAATAAACTCATTTAATAAGTTCCAAAGACGAACGAGACGGCTCAGTGGCTGTAAAGGCACCTGCTTCCCAGGGATGTAAGCCTGACACCCTGAGTTTGATACTCAGAACCCACAGGAAGGCAGAAGGACAGACAGCTGATGATGGTGGCCCACACCTTTAATCCCGGCACCCAGGAGGCAGAGGCAAGTGGAACCCCGAGTCTGAGGCCATTGTGGTCTATAGAGCGGGTTCCAGGACAGTTTGAGCTACCCAGAGAAACCTTGTCTCAGAGAAACAAGGGAAAGGAGAAAGTCGTCCACGTGGTAGTCCTCTGACCTGCACATGTACACTGTGGCTTGTGTACCCATATGCACACAATAATGATGATAAGTTTTAAAAGCATTAAAAAATAAATAATGGTTAAAGTGACAACCCACAGTCTAGTCTTCCCTTGCCTTCTTCCTGTGTGCAGTTAGTAACTCTCTGGTTGACTTATTTGAACTGGTAACTAGCCATTTTCTTTGGACACAGTACTGCAGATTGTTCATAGCCAAGCAGTTTGTTTTTATACCTCTTTTTTATTTTTTTTTTCAGGGAGAAATATTTCCTAACCCATCAGATTATAAGACCTCACTCATAGCTCTGACTGCTCACAATTGGCTGCTTCGTATATCAGCAACTACAGGGGAAATCCTGGAGAAAATATACCTTGCTTCCTATTGCAAGTTCAGGTATCCACTGTGAGATTGTTCGAGTTGTTTTGAGACCTGTGGCCCAGGAAATCTTAGGCGCCTCTTCAGTTCTGCCCTCTGTCCCAGTTTTTCCCGAGTATTTTAGGATCCCGGACTCTGAACTAACTCTTTTTGTCCCTTTGCTTTGTTCTGTTTGAAGATCTGAGGCTAGTGAACTACACTATTTACTTTGTGTTCCTAATAAGTAATTATCCTATACACAGTAGTTAGAGGTAGATGACTGATGAGTTCTCCATTCTAGTATAATCCAAGAAATGCAGTTTTAACGACTAGTTTATAATTAGATGTAAATTAGAATGACTGTGAGTATGGAATTTGTAAAAGTAATATCTTTAATATTTTTTGTACCTCCCATTTAAAATTGGGAATGGCGCATGCCTTTAATCCCAGCACTAGGGAGGCAGAGCCAGACAGATCTCTGTGAGTTCAAGGCCAGCCTGGTCTACAGAGCGAGATTCAGGACAGGCACCAAAACTACATGGAGAAACCCTGTTTCGAAAAACCAAAAAAAAAAAAAAAAAAAAGAAAGAAAGAAAAGAAAGAAAGAAACCGTTTTTAACTGGAATGGCAGCAGATGCTCTTAATCTCCCAATACTTAGAAGGCTGAGCCAGGAAGATCAGACTTTCAAAATTATCCACAGTGACGTATCAAGTTCAAAAACTGCCTGGATTACATGAGGCTTTTCTCAAAAAAAATTTTTTTTAATTAGAAGAGAATTATTTAAGAAAATAATACAGAGAAACCCTGTATTGAAAAAAAAAAACTAAAATTTATGTTTTAAGTAGCAGTTGTATCTATATAAGGATCTAGAGGAAATTATTAAAGCTGTTTGTTTTTAAAATAGATTAACTTGGGCTGGAGACATGGCTCAGAGGTTAAGAGCACTGACTGCTCTTCCAGAGGTCCCGAGTTCAATTCCCAGCAACCACATGGTGGCTCACAACCATCTGTAACGAGATCTGATGCCCTCTTCTGGCCTGCAGTCATACATGCTGTATACATAATAAATAAATAAATCAAAAAATAAAATAAAATAAAATAGATTAACTTGCTTTTATAATTTAAATTATATTTAAAGAAAACATGAAGTACCAAGCCAACATGGTAATTTATGCCTGCCATCTCAGCAGGAGAGATACCCAGCTACTGCAGGCAGGTCAGACAGCAGGTTCAAGGTCAGCCTGGGCTTCCTAAAGAGTCCTAAGCCAGATTTTATCACCCCCCCAAAAAATGTAAAATAAAAATAGGTAGGTAAGTAAATAAAGTCTAGTGTTTTGATTTTACATATATATATATATATACACATACATATAACATTCAATCACTAAATGCGTGTGTGTTCTTTCCAAAGGTACTTGAGCTGGGACACTCCTCAAGAGGTCATTGCGGTCAAGTCAGCTCAGAACAAAGGCTCAGCAGGGGCCCGTCAGGTCTGCAGCCCTTGTTAAAGCTCCCACAGGGCCTTCGGGATTGAAGATTGCTGTTTACATTGGAAGATAATTTTCCTCCCAAAGCAGACCATTCAAATGGGTGTCTCTCTGTTTTATTTCTGTTTTTTTGAGGGCACTGGGAATTGAACCTAGGGCCTCATGCATGCTGGTCAAGGGCTCTAGTGCTGAACTACATCCCTCAGCTGTTCTCTTTGAAGAATCACCTAGAATTGGTCAGGCATGGTGGTGCAAGCCCTTAATCTCAGCAGAGGCATGAGGATCTCTGAGTTCCAGGCCAGCCAGGGCTACAGGGTGAGACCCTGTTCTTCCCCCCCCACCCCCAAAAAAGCATCACCCAGAATTTACTAGACCTTTATAAAGCCTAGATCTATCAGGAAACTTATTTCTGTTGGTAACTGATAAGGAAATACTTAGAAAATATTTATTGAGCATTTTTATGAAATACAGTTTTGTTTTTTTTTCTCATAGGGGTTTTCTGTTCTTAGGACAGAATATATATACATAACAACTCCAATAAGAAGAGTTATTTTCTGTTTGCTTTTGGCAAGATCTGTATTTGAATTCCTCCTTGTATTTAATGTAAAGCATAGCCTTCTAAAAAAATTCCTGTAACCTTAACTGTCAGGTAATTTACTTAGAATTCTAGGGTGCCTTTTTGTGGGCAGTGTTTTGTTTTGTTGTTGTTGTTGTTGTTGTTGTTGAGAGAGTCTGACTGTGCAGCTTAGTCTGTCTTCAAACAGATCCTCCTGCCTCAGCCTGCCAAGTGCTGGGATTGCCAGTGTGTGCTCCCGTACCTGGTTTAGAACCTTTGAACAAATTAAATAGTTCCTCTGCTTTCACCTTATTTAAACAAGCACATCAGGTGTCCCTTACCAATGTCAGCGCGTTCCTTCACACTCGGCTTTCATTCCTCTCTTTCCTGCCTTCTCTGGCTTTGTGTGCCCCACTGAACCAAATAAGCTACTGATTAACTTTTAAATTCATCTAAAAATTTTTCATGGGCGGTGGTGGCACACCTTAATCCCAGCACTTGGGAGGCAGAGGCAGGCGGATCTCTGTGAGTTCGAGGCCAACCTGGTCTACAAAGTGAGTTCCAGGAAAGGCACAAAGCTACACAGAGAAACCCTGTCTCAAAAAAAAAAACCAAAGAAAAAAATTTTTTTTCATTACACTAATTTATTTCTATGTGTAATGTAATGTTTATATATACTTCCATGTCGCAGCGCACAGGTAGAGGAGGGCAGAGGACAGCTTGCAGGGGTCAGTTCTCTTCTACCCTTTGAGTTCCAGGGATTAAACCCCTCACCACTGAGCCTTTACCCAGATCTAAACTTAATTTTTTTTTTTTTTTTTTTTTTTTTGGTTTTTTGAGACAAGGTTTCTCTGTGTAGTTTTGGTGCCTATTCTGGATCTTACTCTATAGACCAGGCTGACTTTGAACTCTCAGAGATCTGCCTGGCTCTGCCTCCCAAGTGCTGGGTTGTTTAAAGGCGTGTGCCACCACCGCCCCGGCTCTAAACTTACTTTTTGTTTTTTTTTAAAGATTTATTTATTTATGACGCATACAGCATGTTTGCCTGCAGGCCAGAAGAGAGTGCCAGATCTCATTACAGATGGTTGTGAGCCACCATGTGGTTGCTGGGAATTGAACTCAGGACCTCTGGAAGAGCAGTCAGTGCTCTTAACCTCTGAGCTATTTCTCCAGCCCCTAAACTTACTTTTAATGATGGTTATTTATAAATATTTCCTATATCTTGTCCAGTCATATTAATAGCATAACTACATACCTTTCGTTGGAGTCTCCTTGGCCTTTGAGGTGGCTGGCCTGAGAGAGGGTTACTGTCTGTTGCTGCTTTTCATATTCATTGTGTAGCTCTCTGCTCTGGTAAAGGAAAATTCATAAAAGTTAAATACTATAACAAAGTAACACAGCATTTCATGAGAATTCTAGAAGCACCTGGTCTAATATGCCTCTGAGAATTTAAACACCAGAAGAACCAGGACTTCAGTCTAACTCTGCACAGTATTGTGGATTGAGGTTTTTATTTATCACCTGATATTATTAAAAGTCTCGTAAGCATTTCTGCATTTGAGACCATGTTCCCACAATATATAAATACACCTGCCTTTAGGTTTTAGGAACAAAGATCTTAGTAAAAGTGTGTTTCTTTGAAAGGGAAGGTTTCTGGGCTTTAAACATCACACTCTGTTTCTGTGTTTCTTTGTGCTTTAACTTTTATTTCCCGTGTTGATTGATAGTGTTGGTGCTCAAACCCTATTTCTGCTCAAGCAGAAGTCGCTGTGATGGGGCTGACAGCTGTCCTGTCCCTAAATTGAAGATACTCCCTTGAATTCTGTACTAGAGAAGTAAATAGATTATTTTGCATATCGTAATGGAAATAATTGTTGGGAACTTGTTTTCCAAGATAAAGGAACTCTCTTCTCCAAGTTGATAGATCATTCAAGCCTTTATTGATGTATTGTTTGTCTTCAGTACAGTCATGTCAATACAAGTACTTTCAGTAATACGACCATGGTCACACCATGCTCTTTGTTAGGCTCATTGTTAGAACCCCAGTTTACAATACAAATCCACAAGATCGTAATGGTAAGAAATGCTTATGTTATGTTTCCTTTTGTAGAGTTTTATGTTTATGTACTTGCATGTGTGAGGAGCTGGAGGATTAGTGAACATTGTAAGTGTTTGCTTTATTGGTGAAATAACTTCTCCTTCTAAATAGATGGATAGTCTCAACTCATGAAAACTTTTGTAAACTTGAAATTATACAAGGACAGAGGGATATTTGGAATTTGTGAAGATAATTGTCTTCCGAAGTACTTTGGAGAGCTCCCTATAATTTTATTCTTTTCTTCTAGGCAGGCACTCAGCAGCCTGGTTTGTTGTACCTTGCAGTATTCCGGGTTCTGCCCTTTTCCCTTGTAGGGATTCTGGAGATCAACAAAAAGGTAAGAAAACTAACGTCTTCCTTCTTTTTTTTTTAGTGCAGGATCTCACTATGTAGCCCTAGATAACCTGGAACTCACTATGTGTAGACCAGGCTAGCTTTGAGCTCAGAGATCCACCAGCTTTTGCCTCCCAAGTGCTTGAATTAAAGGAATGCAGCACCACACTGCAATTACTTAAGTGCAATATTTTATTGACAATTAAGTGTAATATCTTCATTTATTTATTAGATGTTTTGAATGGGAATGTTCTATCTATGAAATGTTTACTGATCTATCTTTTTGCATATCAAAATGTAAACATTTGACTAGGGAAGAAGCCTAAACTTCCTGCATGTTTTTATGCCTCTCAGATGGTTAGTGTTATTAGTGCTGGAAACCTGTAGTCATTTACAAACTGCTATTTTATAAAATATGAAATGCCTAAAGAATTTTTTTCAAAGGGAATAATATGTCAAAGCCTATTAAAATGATCATGAAGCTTCAACAAAATGTCTCATTTTTAATTACAAGGTAAAGGTCTAAAACTTGCTTTATAATATATAAACAAGACTTGTAATGGAATACATGAATTTTCTAACTCACGCAGTTTGGGGTTTTATTGTGTTCCCATTTGTCATGATTTGTGGAATACATGGGAGGAAAGAAGAGCCAAATTTCAACTGAGTAAGAGTCTACTTTCTTTTTAAAAGTTTTTACTTTGTGGAAAGTTATCTTGGGAATTCTGCTAGTGTTTAAACACTGAAAATATTGTAGGAGTCAAGATCTTGAGAATCTATTAGTATTCACTAGCAATCAATATAAATCTATTTAAATATTTCCTATTATGTAAGCATATACTAAATTGCATAAGCTAAAGAATAATATTAGCCGGGCGGTGGTGGCGTACGCCTTTAATCCCTGCACTCGAGAGGCAGAGCCAGGCGGATCTCTGTGAGTTCGAGGCCAGCCTGGACTACCAAGTGAGTCCCAGGAAAGGCGCAGAGCTACACAGAGAAACCCTGTCTCGAAAAACCAAAAAAAAAAAAAAAAAGAATAATATTAGTTATCACTTATAGTTTATTTTGCACTAGTCACTTTTAAGTATTTTAAGACTTTGTGACAGTGTATTCTATTAGAAGTTGAGCAGTTATTTACTAATTTAAAAGTGTTTGAATTATCCAAGTACTTCTTTTCAAAGGGTGAAACCAGGAGGAGGGAACTGAAAAGCTAAGAGCTACCCAGCTCAAAGCAAACCATAATTATCTTTCTAAGAAAATGACAAAAGCCCAGCTTGTCACTTCATTGTTTTCCTTATGCTTGTGGATTAAGTAATTGTATGTGTATTACATTCTGCGGCAGGAACACACAAAAAGACTAGCAAAGTCAAAGTTGTTCCTGCTTATTTTTAATGTATCCAGTGTAATCACGTGAGGGATTTGGTCTTGATTATTGTAACTGCACATCTTTCTCTTATTATATGTATTAAAATTATACAGGGGTGAGGCTCTTGAGCAGCTTATTACCATGGTACATCTTCACTGAATAATCTTCCTTGAATAAAAGTCAAAACAGATTTTTAGTTCCTCTATACTGCATTTAGTACTATAAATATTTGCCTACCTTGCTTTTTGTTGAATATAAATGAGGCACAGAATTGTGTCCTTTCTCAGAGCTGTAGAGAAAGTCATCATAAGATTCAAGAATAGAATTTTTAGGGAACAATAAGCCAAACATTACTCTCGATAAATGTCTGTAGGGGTTTGATCTTTATGGTTTTGCTTTTTAAGCAGTTGAGAAATCAACCCTTGATAGAAATTAAACAACATAATAGTGACAAGCATCTGGAGTTGGGAACTAGGGAAATAACTTGGTAGGTAAGAGTACTTGCTATGTAATCATAAGAGCGTGAGTTTAGATGCCCAGCACCCACATAAAGTCCAGGCCTGGCCATGTGTGCAACTCTAACACCGCACAGGAGAGGTTTCCCAGGGCTTGCTGGGCAGCTAGCCTAACTGTGACAGTGGAAAGCTCTGGATTCAGTGAGAGAGAGCCTGTCTGGAGGGGATAAAATGGGGAGTTGTAGAACAGGACACCCAGTGTCATGCTCTTGTGCTGCACACAGGAGCGTGGGCTTATGTCCCTGCACACACGCCCGCACTGTACCCACAGCACACAAACGCACATGGATCCACATGCCCGCACTGTACCCACAGCACACAAACGCACATGCATCCACACACCCGCACTGTACCCACACACAGCACACAAACGCTCATGGATCCACACGCCTGCACTGTACCCACAGCACACAAACGCACATGGATCCACACGCCTGCACTGTACCCACAGCACACAAACGCACATGGATCCACACGCCCGCACTGTACCCACAGGACACAAACGCTCATGCATCCACACGCATGCACTGTACCCACAGCACACAAACGCTCATGCATCCACACGCATGCACTACCCACAGCACACAAACGCACATGGATCCACACGCCCGCACTGTACCCACAGCACGCAAATGCACATGGATCCACACGCAGGCACTACCCACAGCACACAAACGCTCATGGATCCACACGCCTGCACTGTACCCACAGCACACAAACGCACATGGATCCACAGCTGGCCGTTTCTCTTATAATTACTTTCCAAGTTCCAATCATTTTGCCTTTAAGCATCTATAAATATTTGTCTTTATGAAGAACATCTTAGTGTAAATACTGAGTCTCTATTGGATCTACCTGATAAATACTACTTTAGAATTACATGGCCTTACTGTTTATCACTGTTCCACAGAAAGTCCAGTTTTTAATTACTTGGTATTGACAAAGCCGTACAGCAGATGGATGCTGACACATCATTACTCTGGGCCCTGGGTGCAGCGCCCCTTTGCTGCTCCGGCCTGAGCATCGAGTGGCTGCTGCTTGCCTCTAATAAGACTCTAGCTTGAAGCTGCTGAATTGTAATTGAGTTTTAATGTGAGGCAGCCACGATGACCTGAATATGAGGCAGGAAATGCAAACATTTTGAAGACTCAAAGGAGTGGCCTTTGGGTCTTTCCTAAGGTGACATCTGCCTTTCCCCTTAGGTTTTCACGAATGTCACAGATGCTACGTTGTCACATGGGATACTGATTGTGATGTTCAGCTCAGGACTGGTCAGACTGTACAGCTTCCAAGCCATCATTGAACAGGTAGAGAAAACTACAGTTGGACATTTCACACTCAGTGTGAGGTGTGGACTGAAGTTTTTTGTCATTGTTTGTTTTGTGGTTATTGTTATCGTTTTTGACAAGTCAGGCACTCATACAGTTTTAAATTATAAGTTATTATAAAAATGTGAAAAGATACATAATCTTTGCAAGAGGGATGGGGAGAATAAACAGAAAGGCCCTTGAGTGAAGACATTTCTCCGTCATGTGCATGTAAATTTTATTTTTCCCTAAACAGGCTCTAAAGCCACCGTTTTTGCTTTGTTTTGTTTTTAGTTCATGCAGCAGAAACTTGACTTAGGGTGTGCATGCAGTCAGGGCGGGACCACGGGGACGGTGGGAGAGGCTCCTCTTGGCATCCCCTGTAATGTTAAGATCACAGGTATGGCTGTGTACGGATCTTTTCAACTCAAGAAAGTAAGTGCTCATCTGACTCGCCTGCTCTGAAAGCACACTCTTTCCTCTCTGACTGTACCCTGACTCCCATACAGCATGTGTATCCTTCACTGTTGAGTAAATGTCAGCACAGTTCTGGCCACTGTTCCCTGGAATGGAGGCCTGAGGATACTGAGCCCTTTGTCAAGTTCTTTTACCTTTCTGATCCTTGATTTCCTTGTCTGGAAAATGATAGTTGTGGCGATTCATACTATCCTAGCTTCCTTATAACTTAAGGTTTTTTAATTTTGTTAAGTCTACCCATTTCTAAGGATAGTGTTTTCCAAGGAAATATTAATGCTATGCCCACTAAAGATAGACAGATCCTAGACCTAGGGAGAATAAAAAAGAAAGTTTTACATGATTCTATGAAGACAATTTAAAAAAAAAATTCTGTATTTAACTCACTGAGCCAAGTATGGTATATCCCTAGAATCCCAGCACCTGGGAGGTGGAGGCAGGAGGGTCAGAAGTTAAAGGTCATCCTTGGCTATATAGTGAGTTTGAGGCCAGCCTGAGCTACATCAGACTCTTTCTCAAAAACAAACAAGCAAACAAAAACCACCCCAACTTATTAAATTCAGCAACTTAGTAAAAGCCTTCAATTGAAGGCCAGCCTGAGCTACATGAGATCTTGTCTCAAAAAAAGAAAAAAGATAAAATAATAATGTTCAAAAACATAGTCTTTGAAATTATTTTCTATTATAGAACAATATCATTGAATGGTTTGGGGGTGTCATCTGCCTGAGGGGATTAGCACATTATATAGGGTGTTTGAGTGTCTGTTGCACACTGTGGAGATGACAGCCCTCTGTCCAGATCTCTTCTCAAGCATCCAAGGACAGCCTGATGATTATAGTCCAGTTAAAAGAGCCAATTAGAGAGATGGCATTATCCTAGTATTTTGTTTCTATTCTGAATTCAATAAGAGTCACTCACTATGATGCAGAGAACATTTGCATCTTTTTCTAACCAATAAACACTATGGTTTTTTTAGGTGAAATTTCAAAAGTTTCTCTAATATAACCAGGATAAAACAGGAATTTTTTAAAAATCATCATTTACCATTGTATCATCAACAAATAGTCAAGACACAGAAATGAAAGATGTAAGAAAGGAAAAGAATGTTCTGTTTAGTGGCAAATGGCAGTTATATAAACTATGAAAAGTGCCCGGTATAATCGTTTAAGCTATCCATGAAGTCCAAAATAAGTGTTTTAAAAATGATTCATTTTTAAGTGAATTAGGCAGTTTTATAAAAAAGTTAGCAATACCTCCTAACCTCAGAAATACCTCCTGCATTTAATACAAACATGCTCATAAAGCTCTTTTGAGAATTTTGTATGTCTCCTGTCACTGTTTGGAGCCAGCAGAGGCCAGAGGAGGGTGCTGGATCCCCTGGAACTTGAGCTGTAGATAATTTTGATGAGAGTGCTGGGGGCCGAACCTGAGTTTATTCTCACATGGCATTTGAATCTTTTTCATGGTTTACTGACACAGGCCTTTTGGCTGTTATTATATTTGGATATTAATATTTTTTCTTATTACCTGAAAAGACCTTATTTAAGATATTTCTTTTTAAAAGCTTTTAAGTACTTTAAATATCTTTGATATATCTATACCTATTCTTTGTTTCTCCTCAAAATTGCTTGTAAGCTGCTTTTCCTTGTTTTTCTCCTGTGTACAGCTCTCAGAAGTAAGAAGAACCCTAACAAAGCACACATTTCCATTCTAACATGTAACTCTTACATGAATGATCTGAGAATAACCCCTTGAAGACAAGTGGCTTTATAAACCAGATATTCTCCAGGGAGAAGCACAAATCAGGAGGCCATAGATGAGCAGTCTGACCTATGGCCACCAAAGGAGACTGTGCCCTCCCTGCATCCCTTCTCCTTACAGTGTTTAGAGTGGATCTATTATGTTATAATTAAAACTGTGATCAAAGAAGAAGAGAAAAAAACGCCAACAAAATTGTCTTTGATGTCCATCCCCAAGAGACTGATTTGATATGTCTGTAAAAATGAACTTGTTTGATGATAATACTGGTAGTGATGTCTGCTCTTTAATAAAGTCTCATTGTGGCCTAAATTGGTTGCATTCATTCAGACTGACATTGCTTCTATACAAGAAACTAACACAGGTCAGCTTTTGTAAAATTTGCTGTTATGTATTTGTTAGACTATAATATGGAAGGTCTCCTTGCCTTTGGAAGGTTTAGTAGACCTGATTACGTTCCTCAATTGTTCAGGGAGTTGAAATTGTGGCTAATCCAGAGTCTTACACATAGACCCTCAGGGTGGCTGCAGTTTTTGTGATATATTTACCTCCCTCACTCCCATGATAAGCACCTTCTGCCCTGTTTTTCCCCACATGTAGACCATGTATTCCCACCAGAATACATGCTAGAAAGTTAACTAATAGCTTCACTTTGTTTTCTACCAGCTTTCTGTTCTCTTAGCAACAAACTTCTCTTCTGACTGCATTTTATTCCCTTGAACATAGTAATTTTTCATTAATGAGACTTCATAAAGTATATATATGCACCAAGAAATGTTGAACTTAATGAGTGGTACAAGTCCACCCAAAATGAGAAGCCAATAAATTTCTCTTGCTCATCTTTGCAGACTCACCATCTCCACTCTTTGAAGTTTCATCCCTGGAGAATGCATTTCAGATAGGAGGCCATCCTTGGCACTACATCATCACACCTAATAAGAAGAAACAGAAAGGAGTTTTCCATATTTGTGCCCTAAAAGATAATTCCTTGGTAATTCATGAGTACTCAACTTTTTAATAGTAAATTTATATTAGAAATTTTGATTCTCTACTCCTCTAATAGCACTTTATGCCCAGGAATTACCTTCTCATTTAGACTGTGTCTCTGTGTAGCAGTGGCTGGCCTGGAACTCAGAGATCTTCCTGCCTTGTTACCCCAGTGTTGGGATTAAAGATGTGTGCCATCACACCTGGCATTTGGGGACAATTTAAAATGCAGAGAACATAGGAAATAGTGTTTTGTCAACTAGATTTTTAAAACACGAATTTTTGAACAGTCTTAAAGCACCAAGGATTCTCGTTTTCTGTCTTTCTCCTTCCTTCACCCTCCTCCTCCCTCCCTCTCCCTCCTCCCTCCCTCCCTCTCCTTCCTCCTCCCACTCTCCCCTTCTCCCTCTCAACCTCTCCCTCCCTCCCTTCCCCCCTCCCTTCCTCTCCCTCCCTCCCTCTGTCTCTCCACCCCTCTCCCAGACACTCATGTAACCCAGGCTGACCTCCAGCTCCCTCCTTGGGCAAGCCTGGCCTTGAACGTCTGACACTCCCATCTTTGCCCCCCAAGTGCTGTGACTGTAGTTATGTGTCCCCATACACAGCGAAGGGTTTTGTTCTGACGGTTTTGCTGCAGGCTTCTCATGGAAAACATCTCTCAGATGCTTCCGTGGGAACTGTTGCTAGAATATACTCAGGCCGCCTCTGAAATTGCTGTGGAATGTGTTGTTGATTTTTGAAGCGAGCAGAACCAGATGGAGTTCTGGAGCTCACAGTGTTGGCGCTGAAATGGAGTATTTTCAAGGGTTTCCTCAAGTTGCCTCTGGCACCACAGGAAGAAATGGCTCATGGCAAACAGTAAAAGTTTAACCCATTAAGTTCATCTTAATTTTCTTTCAAAATATGACTCTTTTTCTTGAGTTTCCATTTAATCATTTGAGGTCTGGCATGGCCCGACATGGCTAGGGATACATTTTCCTCCTTGCTTAAATTCTCCCAGGATTCCTTCCCTGTTGATGTGTCACTGGGCCTGCCCAGAGAGCCCCTTTAGGCCCTGACCCATGCTGTGGTTCGCGTCTTTCCTTGTATCGCTGACTCACTGTGGTTTCTATCAGATAAGTTTGCTTTTTAGGAGGTGGATTGAGTTTATTCCACACCCAGGTCTTCAGGACCCTTGTGCAGTCTGTCACTTTCGGCTCCGGTAGCTTTTAGAGTCACAGGTCCCCACCGTCCACCTTGTTGAAGGTCAGCGTAGCCTTGGGTCCTGGTATCTCCTCCTGATGTCATAGGGTCGCTGTGTCTAGTGTCTTCTAGTTTACTTTTGTGAGAACTTTTTCCCTCCATTTTCTCACTTCTTGGTCACAGGTAACAGCCCTGTAGCCCCTCTCCCTCTGTCTCGTTTTTCAGAGGATTTTCCTGCCATCGCAAGCCCTGAGGTGACTGTTCACCTCTCAACCAGGACTCTTCAGCCACCAGTACCTGGAATTCTCTGTCCCTTTGCATCCACTCAGACCTTGTACAATGCATATCCTATACATTTACCATATGTTTTTATGTAAGAACTGATTCAGTGTGTTCTTTCATAAAGAAATAAGTGATCTTTAAGCATACCTATCTCGTACTCTCTAATAACAACAGCATTTGGTCAGGCCTGTATTTCAGCACACTTATAAATGATTGCCAAAACCAGAAGTTAATGGATGCACACTGCTCTTAGTTCCTGGTGCTGCTGGGTAGAAGGTAAAACATGAGTCCACGTGGATCATTTGTCATACATTGCTTATTCCCTACCCCTTTTCCTGAGACAGGATCTTCCTATGTACCACTGGCTGTCCTGGGATTCACTATGTAGACCAGGCTTGAACTCATAGAGCTCTGCCTGCTTTTGCCTCCCAAGTAGGATTAAAGGTGTGCAGCACCACACTTGGCTTTTTTCTTTATTTTAATGTCTAAGAATGCCTACATAGTTTAGAATAAGACTAGTGTTGTCTTAAATGCTCATCAGTGTTAGACTCTTTTCTCAGATATGAGAGTTTAATATTTGACTTAATCAAGGAGATTATGTGACCTGAGTCAGAGACTCTTGCTTTGGTTACGTGTTTATGTGAGTGTACCTACTCTTCTGATTGACAGGAAGCTGTGGATAGGGGTGGGAGGAGGAAGTTGTAGGAATCTGCATGTGTATAGTCATGGAAAGTTCGTGGACTTTGGCGTCAGATCTAGTGTTTAATGGGTTCAAAACAACGGGCAAATGTTTGTTCTCTCTGTGTGTCAGTCTCTTAGCCATAAAATGTGGCTGATATTTGAGGGTTATTAAAATTCAGCGCAGCAGTGACGAAGCATCCCCAGAGCCCCCAACAGCACATGCCTGAGCGAAGGTAGCTTGGGTTACTGTTACCTGAGGTATATTGCATGGCCCAGGGTAAATCTATGGAGTTTTGACTTTATTTATTTATTTTTTTAAAGATCTATTTATTTATTATACAGGCCAGAAGAGGGCACCAGATCTCATTACAGATGGTTGTGAGCCACCCTGTGGTTGCTGGGAATTGAACTCAGGACCTCTGGAAGAGCAGTCGGTTCTCTTAACCTCTGAGCCATCTCTCCAGCCTGAGTTTCTGACTTTCACTGTTCGGAATTTCTCAACTTTGTATGCTCTCATTTGGCCCTCACACAAGTCCCTCTTCAGCTGCTTTATATTGTCTTTCCTGTACCTGTGAGTTACTGAAAGGGTTTGATTTGAAAATTTGTTTACCCTTCTAATCCCTGTCTTATTTTTTTTTTCCAACCTCAGGCAAGAAATGGAATCCAAGAAATGGAGTGTTGTTCACTAGAATCTGACTGGATCTATTTCCACCCCGATGCTTCTGGAAGAATTATACATGTTGGTCCAAATCAAGTCAAGTAAGTAATTTTGTTAGTACTTTAAAATTAAAAGCAATTTTTGTAGCATTTATTGGCATTTTTCATTTTGCTTGTAACCATTGTAATTTTATGAAAAATTTGCTTGTGTGGAGTAGTTCCTGAGAGACTGTTGTCTGTACAATCTGGTTTTATTCTTCAGCTTTCCCATTACTGTCTGTAAGTATTACATACAAGTTCCTTGATAGATGATATGTGAGTGAATGAAGGGAATTAGGGATTATCCTGCCATCATTCAGTTTTGTTTGTTTTTTTTTGTTTTGTTTTGTTTTGTTTTGTTTTTGTTTTTGTTTTTCAAAACAAGGTTTCTCTTTTGTGAAGTTTTGCGCCTTTCCTGGAACTCACTTGGTAGCCCAGGCTGGCCTCGAACTCACAGAGATCCGCCTGCCTCTGCCTCCCAAGTGCTGGGACTAAAGGCCTGCGCCGCCGCCGCCGCCGCCGCCGCCGCCGCCGCCGCCACCGCCACCACCACCACCACCACCACCACCCGGCTTGTTTGCTTTGTTTTAAGACAGGCTCTTAGGGGTTTGTTGTGTAGCTCATACTGGCTACAAGTGTCTAGCCCAGCCTGGCCTTGAACTCATAGTCTTTATGCCTCTGTGCCCCAACTTGTGGGATTATAGGAGTGTGCCACACACTTAAATGGATCTTCATGTTCTAAGACTGATGAGAAAGAAAGAAGATAGCTGAACCAGGTGGCACAGGCCTGAAATCCCAACTGCCCAAAAGGCCAAGGCAGGAAGATCGCAAGTTCAAGGCCACCCTGGGCAACTTTGTGAAACTTTATCTCTAAAAAAAGGGGGAGTGGGGAGGAGGTCCTGGAGATATAGTTCATCAGGAGAGCACTTGCCTGTTGTGAGTGAGGTCCTGGTCCAGGCGCCCTCAGAGAAAGGTGGTGATTTGCCTTTGTTCTGAGCTTGTGGACTGGTGTTTGTTTACTGTTCTCTTTCAAGTCGACCTTCTTCCTTCAGATGGTCTTCATTTGGCTTCCTTGACAGTAAACTGTTTTCTCCTCCTTCTCAGCCTTCTTTATTATAATCTTTCATGGTTTTGATCTTCTACCCAGACCTCTGCTAACTGTTACTTAGCCTCAGTGTTTATGTCTTCTCTTCTCACTCAGGATTTTCTTCCTGTTTGATTCTAGGTATTCCCTTGATTTAAAAAACTGGAAGTGTACTCTCCTTCCCCAACCCCACCCCAATTATATACTAAAAACTAGAAGTATACTGTCCTTTCCCAAGCCCACCCTGGTTATATACTAACCCAGACCTCTCATCTGTCTCATGCCAAAAACTTTTTTTTTTTTTTTTTGACAATGTCTATCTATGTTGTAGTGGAACTTACAATGTAGACCAGGCTGGCCTTGAACTCAGAGATTCACCTGCCTCTGCCTCCCTAGTACTGGGATAAAAGACGTGCACCACCAAGCCTGGCTTCTCCCCAGCTCTTAAAAGATAAGCCCCTTTGAATATTACCACTAATTGACTCAGCTATCGGTTGAAAACATTATCTGATTTCTTTGTCATTTTCAATGTGACGTGTCCAGTTATCCCTGCCACTGTGGCTCCTCCTTGCTGTTCTCTTTGCATATGGGACTGTAGAGCTTTGAGAACATGGTGATTTTGAAGCTTTTTAATGATGTGAACAGATTTCTGTGGGTGGGAAGCAAGTTGTCTTATTTTCTCTTGATTAATCAGCTTGACCCATAAGATCATTTATAGTCTGCAAATTCAAATCTTTAAATAGAATCCTAAAAAATTGGTATTGTTGAGTGTGCATTTTACTCTCTTTGAAAAGTTCTGCATTCCAGTTCATTGCTGGTCCTGTCTCAATCACTGTTAGCTCTAGGTGAATTCTTAGCTCTGTAGTCTACAGAAACAACAGTGCCACTGTCTACTCTAAAGTTCGGGGCGAGACACGCAGGACCTGCTGCAGGAGAGTGAGGTTTGCATGGTGGTGTCATTAAACTTGTTGGAAAATGGTTTAGGTCTGAGCAAGCCACTGCATTACCTATTCAGTGGCACTTGTCACACACAGCTGTGATTTTCTGTTTCACAAATAGGAGTGTGAAGACGGTTACGGATTTGGTATAAGACTAGTATTACAGACTAGACAATGGAGGAGAAGTGAGTTGCTGCAGTTTTCATTTGTTGAGTTTCAGTTGAGGTCAGCTTGGGCGGTTTGATGGTGTTTTGCAATCTTGAGTTCTTAGAATTCTTTTTCCTTTTCAGAGTCTTGAAGCTAAGTGAGGTAGAAAATAATAGTTCTCAGCATCAGATCTCTGAGGATTTTGTCATCTGGGCCAATAGAGAAGACAGGGTAAGTCAGAAATATTTTATATCCTTTCTCTAGAACCATCTAGGTAACTTGTAATCTGCATGTTTTCCTGCTAGGCTGCAGACAGGACCACTGTGCAGAATCTGCTCATCTCGTCTGCATGAGGAGCTGTTCTAAGCCCCACTCGCGGAGAAGATTTGAAGACAGTTTGATTATACTGAGTTTATCTTGCCTGTTTCTTTTTTCTTTTCTTTCTTTCTTTTTTTTTTTTGTCTTCAATTTTTTTAAATGATGAATTGTCAATCTTTGGTTCTAAATAGTTGTGCAAACTTAGGGCTAGGTGTGGTGTATATCTTTTAAAACCAGGTACATTGACCGTAGCTGTTGCTTTTCTTTAGTGTATAAGCTGAGACCCTCGAAGAGGGGAGGCTCTGAGAGCAGAGCCACCCTCCGTTTTCTGTGCCGGGTTAAGGCAAAAGTCAGAAGGATGAGTGAAGAGCAAGTCTATAACCTTTAATTAATTAGCTTTTGCCTATTCTAACATTTTATCCATTTAAAACCTTTACTAAAATATTTTCCACTGAGTGAAGGATTGAAAATTATATTGAAATTAAATTTGGAATTTTCTCAGTCAGCTGAAGGATTGTGGGTGTTGGAAAGGACCGGCTGGTTTGACCACATTACTGAGGACTGTTGCCTTTGATTGCCTGTAATGGAGCATGTCCTGATTTTCCTTTCCCCCCGATAGAATGAAAACTTAATCACTGTTACAGCTTCTGGACGTGTGGTGAAAAGAAATTTCAACCTTCTGGATGATGACCCAGAACAAGAGGTATTCTTTAGTCAAAGATCACCATCCAAGCCAGTAGCCATTCCCATGCAATTGAATGCTTCCCGGGCCTGGGGCGGATACTGGAGGAAGGGTCCCTGCAGGTGGGGTGGTATCTGTGGTTTCAGTTGGTGTCACCCCACCTTCTCTTTCCTATTGGAATCTGCTGCACAGTCTGTAGTAAAGTTTCTAGGGCTAAAATCATTTGAAAACGTGATTAGCTTACTGTTTTTGTGAGGTATGCATTCAGTCAATGGCTAGCTCTCGAGATGGTTCTGCAGGTAGGAGCACTTGTGTCCAGGCTGGTGCAGGCTGGATGACCTGAGCTCAACCCTTAGATCCTTCAAGGTAGCAGGAGAGAACTCTCTTCCAAGAGTTGTCCTCTGACCTCCACATGCATGTGCACACACACGCACACACACACACACACACACACACACACACACACACACTTTTTTTTTTAAGATAAAGAGTTTTTAAAAGGCCAATTCTTCAGGGTGAATATATAGTTCAACAGTGGAGTGCCTGAAGAGCATGCATGAGCCCCTAGGTTCAACAACACTCGGCAGCCATAAAGTTGAAGTTGTCCTGGCAATACTCTTGGGTTGCTCAATCATAAGGACGAGTTCGGGTCGCAGCACCGGGGAACAAACGGGCATCCTGCAAAGGCCTGTAACTCCAACTCCAAGGGATCCAGTGTTCTTTCTGGTTCTGTTTGCCAAAGTCTACAGGATACTGCTTGACACCTGAAAATCTGGGGAGTGACCCATGTTTTACAGGTATACACACAGAGATACATTTCTACTGAGTCTCTCACCCATTTGTTCTTCCTGCTGCTGTATCATACGTAAGGGATGGAATAATTAAATTCAAAATGTAGGACTATTCCTAGCTCCTTAGCTGGCATTGACCCTACTTTCATCTGTCTCCAAGACCTTCAAAATTGTGGACTATGAAGATGAGTTGGACTTGCTGTCTGTAGTAGCTGTCACTCAAATAGATGCCGAAGGCAAAGCTCACCTGGATTTCCACTGTAATGAGTACGGAACCCTACTCAAGAGCATCCCACTCGTGGAGTCATGGGATGTGGTACGTATAACCATTGGATACTAAGTTGGAAGAGTTTTCTTTACAGGTGCCATTTATTAGAACATGTTCGTATCAGTCCAGACTCACCTGTGCCATGACCACATGGAAGAAGTTATTGGCCAACATGCAAGACAGAATGAGTACTTCTAAGCCTTCTTTCTCTTAGCATTAGGATTACCTTCTTACCAGCACCCCTGAAGATAAAACTTTGTGTTACTTGAGACATGTTATTTCCTCACCACAGTCTTGTTTTCCTCCAAATTTTAAGTTTGGTAACATTTTTTTTAATGAAATTATAATTATCTCCCACAGCTAGTTAATCAGAGGCAATATCAGAGCAAATCACGTTTCCAGCACTTGGAAATAATTGTTTCCAAATATTCATAAACTGGACGTGTACTGGGAATATGGCTCATTGAGTAGAGTATCAGCCTAGCATACAGAGACCCTGGGTTCAGTCACAGCACCACCTAAAATGAGTTGGTTTCAGGGGGACTGGGGAGGTGGTTCAGTGGCTGTGCAGATGTGAGAACTTCCAAGTTGGGATCCCCAGCACCCACATAAATGCTGCCAGGTGCGACAGCCCATGACATGCAGGTGAAGACAAAATCTCTGAGGCAAGATGCCTGGATCAGCCAAATCACTGAGCTCTGGACCCGATGGACTAAGGTGGAGAGTGATTGAGGAAGACATCCGGCATCTCCCTCCGGCCTCCACACACACAGAGAGACCTCCACACACAGAGACCTCCACACACAGGCCTCCATACACACAAACACACACAGAGACCTCCACACACAGGCCTCCATACACACAAACACACACAGAGACCTCCACACACAGACCTCCATACACAAACACACACACAGAGACCTCCACACACAGGCCTCCACATATACACATACACAGGCCTACACACACACACACACACACAGGCCTACACACATACACACACACACACACACACACACACACACACACACACACAGGTGTCCACACATGTGAGCATGCACACATTCCACAGCACATACAAAAATAAAAGTTACAAGAACAGTGTACCTTCTGCCCAGGCCTCTTTCTGTCAGTGAGGAACTTGAGCGTGTGAAATGCGTGTGTGTGCTCATGCAGTCAGTCAGTGTGCAGTGCTGACAGTGAACTGGTACCCTGCTCCTCACCCAGCTCTTCCCATTCTCTGAAGTTTCTGTTAGTCATTCATGCACATAAATAATAAAAAATCCATTCCTGGCAGCTCTTTCACATCTGTGTAGATAGGAAGGCTCCTAGGGTAGGTGCTATGATATTTTGGTGACATAGCAGTGACTATGATTCTGTGAAAAGCAGATCCCACGTGACTGTGTTTTTGTTGCAGACATATAGCCATGAAGTCTACTTTGACAGAGACTTGGTGCTACACATCGAACAGAAACCCAATCGAGTCTTCAGCTGCTATGTTTACCAGATGGTCTGTGACCCCGGGGAAGAAGAAGAAGAAGAAGAGGAAGAAGAAGAAGGAGGAGGAGGAGGAGGAGGAGGAGGAGGA